AAGTCATGAGCGAGTTCGTAGGATTAAGAGCAAAATTGTATACTTTTAGGATTCATAGGAATGAGAGAGCAAAGAAACGTGCCAAAGGAGTGAAAGGATCAGTACTAAAAAGGATCAAATTTGATAATTACAAAGATTGTCTCGATAATCATAATCATATTGTTAAGTCACAATATTTGATTAAGAGCGTTAAACATGAAGTTAGGACTGTTGAGCAAAGGAAATTAGCTTTAAGTTGGGAAGATGACAAGGGAATATTGTTAACAGACTCTTACGATACTGTACCATAGGGCTATTGTAAATAAAATAATAAATGTTTCCTTATAAAAAGAATCTTTATTTACTTAGTTATTATTATAACTCATCTTTATTTATCCAACTATTATGAGAACTATCAAAACCTAGCCATTTAACAAAGGCTTTATTTCCACATCTTCGAAGGATTTTCTCTATGAGATAAACATCAGGATTCGTAACTCTCGTTAATTCCTCTTGGTAAAATCCACCTTCAATTGGGTTATCCTCATAATCCGTGAGTTTATAGGTGACAGGATTGGTTTTCACAACTTGACTTATCGTGAATATTTCCGTTGTCAAATTGGGCGTATTGCTGATGCGCACCTTATCTCCAACTTTAAACATGATTTTTTTTGTATTATGAGTTTTGAGTTGCCCAAAGACGTGATGTAAGAGGTACTTCTCATGAGCGGCAGTAACATCCTTCGGTTTCATTTTAATTGTGCGATGTTTGGTGTTATTATAGGACTGAACCAAATTCGTGACAATGAGAATCCACTTGTATGTCCCTTGCAAACTGAACTGTTTCCACATTTTCTCCTTGAGCGTGCGATTGAATCGCTCACAGATGGATGCTTTGAGGTTACTGAATGTTGAGTACATAGTAATGGTATAATTCTGCATAAGCCTGAATTGACTATTGTAGAATTCTTTGCCTCTATCACATGTAACTTCTGTGGGACACGGCCCTGTTCAAGTATGGACTTCATAGCACTGCTCACATCCTTTCCATTCTTCGTCTTCGTCGGTACAGCCCAAGCATACTTCGAGAAGATATCGATTACTGTCAAAAGGAATTTATAACCTCCATTTTCACGATAAAAGGCACTCATGTCCACAAGATCTGCCTGCCACGTCTCATCCAGCCCGCAAACTTCAACACGTTGACGTGGATAATTTCGTCGAGCTGGTCTATGAAGATCCTCCACGACTGTTGCCTTCTTGTTGTCCATTCTCCAATGCAATGAGACGTCTATCCAAATCACCTATTATTTCCGAGTTGCGTAGGGATAACTGCTGGTCAGTTTCTTCTTCTTTTTCTATTCCCCTCAATTGCTCATTTATATTTGAATATAAACCATCCAGCATTAACTTGGTCTCATTTGCAATAGAATCTTTTAGTGTTGTCAGTTCCTCAGTTATATGTTGAATGGTTCCAGAATGACTGTTCAGTTGTTCTTGTACTTCTTCATCACCAACATTCTTTCGTCTCATAGTCTTCAGAAAATTCATCTAGAAAGATTGGATTATGGTTTCAATTCCATCAATTGTACCACCCATAGATCCAGTCACATCATACAGGGGGTTTCAGAAGTACATGTACATCTGAACACCCTAGGATCAGGGGGTGATTCTGAGCAGAAAAGTCCTCTTGCACTTTTTGATCAGACTCACCCCGAAAAAGTTATTGGCAGTTAAGGGTGGGCCAATGGGGAGTGATTTTTTAGCGGGCGCACATCCATGTGATATGCAGCATATGCGTGTGTGCCCGCCTCACCATTCCACGAGACAAAAGAGCGCAACGATATTGCTCTCTCTCTCTC